GTATCTAAAAGTTTTATGTGGCAAATGTCCAAATTGGTTAAGTTGAACACTTGATGTAGCACTATGGGTAAAAAACGTGTAAAATGTAAATGACTTAGTTCCATATACGACTGAGAACTTTATTGTTTGACAACAACAACAAAAAGAGCAAGTACGCTCAACCATCCAGGTAAATAAATCACACAACGGTTAATCACGCCATCGGGACAGGTTTTTTTTGGAAGTAACATTTCGTCTTTCATCCAAAAGACTTCAGTCTGAGGCCTGTCACCAGGATCTGTCACATGAACAGCACCTTACTGACATGATTCAAACCAGTCTGCTGTGGAGTTCCCAGAAACTGGCTTTACACATGCAAAATGGAGGACCATCAGTCTACAACAATGTCACCAGTGCATAAAAATCAATTGATATGAGCAAAATGGCTGCTTACTACTCCCGAACCTGAATGAAGACAAACTGGCTAAAAAGAAAGAGAGTACAGTACGTAGGCTCAGTCATCCAGGTAAATAAATCACAGAAAGTTTGCTGGCTCAGTAAGCAGCCATTTTGCCCATAACATTTGATAGTTATGCACAGATGATCGATTGTTTTAGACGAATGGTCCTCCATGCTGAACGTGTAAAGCCAGTCTCTGGATATTCCACAGCAGACTGGTTTGAATAAGGTGCTGCTTACATGACAGATCTTGGTGGCCGGCCTCAGATCGATGAAGCCTTTCAGATGAAAGACGAAACGTTTCTTCCAAAAAGAATCTGTCCAGATGACATGATTTAACCGTTGTGTGATTTATTGTTTGACATTTCTGTCCTTGAAGCGCACAACTCTTTGGATCAAGGTCTGCTCATCATTTATTCTCATGTTTTTGACACAGGAACATAAGATGAGATGAGCCCAGTTTATGGGCATGAAAACAAAACACGATTCTCAACCAGATCATAACTAGACTTTCATCAGGTAAATATTTCAAAAATTCAAAATGCCACGCTAAACAGGAAGTGGTTGTTGAGCCAATCATAGCAAAATGGACGGTCACATATTGTGTGTGTTTCTGTAAATCTCATCAAACTGAAACTGCATGATCACTTCAGAATGTTTTTAATGCACTGCTTCATCAAATACCTTAATTGAATTCACTAAGGTGCAGTTTTTAAATCTTTACAAAAGGTTTGTCTTTAATGTAATTTTTTGTAAATAGTCTTTGATATGGTTTTGTTGTGAATGAGCGTTTTAACTTGTTTTTGATGTTTTGATGTGATTGGTCAAACACTCATGTCCACTTCCTGTTAAAGATGGAGTTCTGACTTTTCAAAACGTTTCTGCCTGATGAAGGTCTAGTTACAAAAACGTTGCAAATAAACTCCTGCTGCAAATAAACATCCTGCTTATGGACATTTTGTGAGAACTAGGCTCTGCTGCAGGAACCCTGATGTGTGAAGTTTACTGTCTTAACAGAAATAGTACAGACAAGAAACAAAAGTAGTTGTATGTATAACAGAATGAGAGTGCGAGCTGTTAATGCACATTAGTCACTTTATGGGTAATTATTTATGTTAAATGTCTGTTTGATAAAATGCATTAATGTTATAAACAGAATTATGATTAAAAGTGATAAAAAAACAACAATAAGTGCAGCAAAAATGTCAAATACACACAAAACCTGAACTAAATTATCTTTGAAGGCTCTGCATTGTTTCCAAACTTCAGAGCTTTGCTGCCATCATGTGGTGGAGATTACCTGAGATTAAAAAGATTATTCGGATTGACCCAGACAGAAAGATTAATGAATACTTTTACATGAAATTTTGAATTCAAATAATCGCATTTAAAAAGTTAGCTTTATAAGAAAGTATCTTTTAGTGAGTTTATAGAAACACTTGTGGTTTCTAGAGTTTCCAAAAACAGAATGGGAGGAAGATCCTTCAGTTCTCAGGCTCCTCTCTTGTGGAACAAACTTCCAGTTTCTGTCCGTGAAGCTGACACATTGTCCAGTTTGAAGACTGGTCTTAAGTCTTTCCTTTTTGATAAATCCTATAGTTAGGGTCAGCTTGGGTTTCCTGAGCTGTCCCTTAGTTTGCTGCTATAGGATTAGACTGCTGGAGGACAAACTGACCACATTTCTTCACTCTGCTACTCTTCACTTACTCTGCTCAGCCTGTTTTGTATTTGTAATTGTTTCTATCCATGACATGTGTTTTTATCTTTCTTTCAATAGGAGGTGCACCTGCACCTACATCTGGACCTGCCATTCTGCGTCCAATTCTCCTTCCTGTCCTCTAAGATTCAGCTGGTTGATGCAGATGGCTGCTTGTCCTGAGCCTGGTTCTGCTGGAGGTTTCTTTTTGTTAAAACAGAGTTTTTCCTTTCCACTGTCTCCTTTGTGCTTGCTCAAGATGGGAGACTGTGATGAAGTGAAGAGTCAATGCAACCTGCTGCTTCCTTCCTTAGATAGAGAACTTTACTAATTGGCTTTTATGTGAATGTTCCTGTAAAGTGCCCTGAGACGACTTCTGTAGTGATTTGGCACTATAGAAATAAACTGAATTGAATTAAATAAAACTAGACCTGCAAAACCTGCAGCTGTTGGGCCTGCAACAGAAAAGGACCCCCCCCCCCCC